TTTTCATAGTTCTGTGTATTTCGTCAGTTGTGTAGTGAAGCCCATAAAAGCATGAAATATGCTGATTACTTGTGAGGAAAATTATTTTCCTTTTACTCCATGTATAGATATATGCAGGGTATTGCTACCTGCATTAGGAAGATAACTCTCTAAACAAGGTTAACCAAATCATGTCTTCTAGGAAAAAAAAACCAACTTTGTTCCAGCTCAGATGTATGATATCTGCACCACTTTTTGATTTCACTATTATTTGTGCTGATAACTTGCACTTTAAGTTCTTCTATATTGTGTCATTTGCAGTTATTATTAAAAATAATTTCAGTTTTGTACCTTTAATATTCTCCAGAATTTTGAGAGAGGATTTGGTAGACCTTACAGGGGATGCAAATGTATTTGGCAGATGTTCTCTCCTTTTACCCTGTTCCTCAGCAGATAAGTTGCCACTGCATTTATTTGGAAGTTACAGTATGTGACAGAGGTAAGACAATTGCATTCCCAGTGTTTCTTCTGTTTTGGGCAATAGGTGGCTGCTGTAAGAGAAGGCATGTCTTGGATTGTTCCCGTTCCCTTGTTGTCTCTTCTGACTGCTAAGCAGTTGGAGCAAATGGTCTGTGGAATGCCAGAAATATCAGTTGAAGTTCTGAAGAAAGTTGTGCGATACAGAGAAGTTGATGAGCAGCATCAGCTCGTGCAGTGGTTCTGGCATACCCTGGAAGAATTTTCCAATGAGGAGAGAGTCCTTTTCATGAGGTTTGTGTCAGGAAGATCTCGATTACCAGCCAACACAGCTGATATCTCTCAGCGATTCCAAATAATGAAGGTTGATAGGGTAAGATGCTGTTCTTTTTATTCTTTTTTTTTTAACATTATCTGTATTTATTATTCCTATTTAGCTTAATCTGTGCATTGGCAATAGGAGCCAGGTTTCCATAATTGTACATTTACAGAGAAAACGTGGAGTAGGATATTCTCTGAGGTATTAAAACCAAGGATCTTAATAGTGGAGGAGCTGGATCATTGCATGAATTGGATATGAATTCATTTGGTGCATTTACTGTAATTCTGTGATTGGAGGTCAAGACAAGCTCTTGCATGAGGAAACCAAACCTCTTCTGTTGTAACTCGTACACGGTCATTTTCTGTTGCATTTCCTTTTTTCATTTGATAATTTTTACTCCCATAAGTTTGTCATATGACCGTTAACAAACTCTGAAGCCTGAGTTTTACAGGATGTATCCTTGAAGTGCATCGTGTACAGGATGCCTACATTTTGCATTGTGTCATTGTTTTGGGCAGTGAAAGCACGTTCTCTAACTGTAAGAATCAAATATTTGGGCAAAGATAACAGTGGTTGGACTGTCATCTTTGGTTAGGTGTCTTTCACGTCACCTCACGTTAAGGCATGGTACGGTACATAAATTTGAATGTTGTTTGTTATCTTCCAGTGGGTTGCTAAATATTGCCATCAAGAGTTCCAATAGTTGTGTTTCCTTAGCGAGCTGAGTAAGTCAGAGCAGTTGATACAACAGTAGTTTGTCACAGCGTTCAGGAGGAGACAGGAGATGTAAACATGAGATGCTAGTCTGCTTCTTAAGAGAAATATTGAGGTAAACTGAGAAAATGCTGGACGATAGAGGCAGGGAAGGTGGAAGCAATGAAATATGGATATGCTGCATTTTCTACTTCTTATTCTCAAACTTACCGGTGTCCCACCTTTTATCCATTTCCACAGCCTTACGACAGCTTGCCTACCTCACAGACTTGTTTCTTTCAACTGAGGCTCCCACCTTACTCCAGTCAACTAATCATGGCAGAGCGTTTGCGCTATGCAATCAATAATTGCAGGTCTATAGATATGGACAATTATATGCTCTCACGGAATGTGGACAATGCAGAGGGCTCAGACACAGATTATTAACATTCTGTGAACAAAATCATCTTCCTTTTACTGAAAATAGTGCCCTAAGTCCAATTTGTTGTTGACATAATTTTATGGTAACCATAGATGTTTTAGGAGCATAAAAGCAGATGTTAATAAACAGTGGCCACATTTTAGTTACTCTAAATGTAACAAAAAATTAGATGTTTTTATTTTTTTGTGATTGTAAAAAAGAAAAAAAAGAAAAAAAAAGTATGATCAATAATTTTTTTTCTCCTTTTTTTGGTCACTTTTGATAAGTTTGCATGGAGACATTTGGGTGCATTTTTGTTGGGAATAGTACATTTGTAAGCCCTCCCAGTGGACATGAAGGGTTGTACATTGTGTATAATTGTTCATTAGCAAGGGCAGTTTTACATGAATATTCACATATTTATTTTGTTCTAATTTGAATTGCCTGTGCAGGGTTCCTTATGCAGAGAAAAATAAAGCAAATTCGAGAATTGGTTGCTTGGATGCATTTGTGAATTGTGTATTGGTTTATTTAGTCTTCGTACTTCGTTTTGTCTCAGGAAATGATAGTATTACCATGTTTAGTCAGGCTGTGATGTTTGGAACACCCTGAAATGTTTTATCTTCTACTGTCTGATGGGTAGGACTGTGCCCTGCGTTCTTCATGTCTTTGAGGTTCAGGTGTACCACTGTTTATGCCATGTACTTCAATACAAGTTAAAGTTGTACGTGATTCCTTCTTGACTTTCATTTGGACACTTTTCCAGAGTATTCCTTGTTGACAGTAATAATACACAGCCGCTGTGACTCAGAAACAGAGTGCCAATAAATGAAGGTGGCAGGACAGTGGTTGAAGCTGTGGATTTTATATACATTCCAAGTATCTGCCTTTGATTTTAGTAAACCACACGTGTTTGGTATCTCCTGCAGCTGTAATTGTGTTATAATCAGCAGTATTCAGTAACATTCGTACTTGGCTGGGGAAGTAACGTACTATTACAAAGAAACTTTTATTTGCGTCTTAGGGAAGTGCTGTGGAAGATGATCCTCTTTGGTCTCTGTACCACAACCATAAATTGTGCCCAGTTGCAAATGCTGTTTGTGCTCAGGAACACGACGTCACCGGGCTGAAGAGAAGGGTGTGCTTCTCTGCTGCCCTGGCCTGATTTCCCCTCCTTCTCACTGGAATCCCTTGATAAGGGTGTTGTGGGGCCTCATGGTGGGGGAGAAAATTCATTAACCTCAACTCCCCTGGTACACGACTGGTTTGAGTCTGGAGAAGAAGACAGACATTCCTATTGCTTGTGATTGCTGTAGGTTAGAAGGGATTATCAGGGAAACTTCCCAGTTGTCCAAGACTAACTGGTGTGTTGGTGCCAGCTGATGGTGCTCAAAGGGCTGAGTAAAGAATTGTAAAGAATTTCAGCTCCAGGTTGTATCTGGTGAAGTTGTTTCTTGCTGTTGGCTCATGAAGAAGGCAAAAGGTTCTTCAGCAACAAGCAAGAACCAGGCTGTAGCGTGAAACAGCCAGACAGACCCTTTAACAGTGCTGGGAGACGGAGGGCCAGGGCTCTGAGGTCAGGCAGGTGTAGTTTCCTGCTGCTTCATGTTTCAAATCAGACAGCTTTCTGCATCTCATCACTGTGTTGTGGAGGAATATATTCATATCTTGGATTAAATTCCAGGTGTTGTACATATATATTTGCATATATATGCACTACAGAAAGGACTGTATTACTGTGTACTGAACCTCCTTTATGTCATTAATCCTTCATCATTTTGCCCGCGTGTTCAGTCAGATACAAAAGGTAATAGAACTGTACCTGAGAATTCAGTTTTGCACAGACTGTGTGTTTTGGCTCTTGGATAATGAGGGTATTTTTGGAGACAATTTGCAATTACGTAAAAGGGGATGCTGATGTTTGTAAATACAGATGTTCATTAAACAGTTGGGCACAATTCCTTTTTAAATTACCCTTGTCCTTTGCATATTCTATCTTAGCATGATTCAAACTAACTGCTTATTTTTATTTTATCCAACTGTTTGTTTTCACTGTCGTGGCATTGTGCACGCATTCCTTTCAATCTGCTGTTTGGCTTTTTTTCAGTTGCTCAGACATCAAAGTCAGACTGGAATTGTGTTCACTCTTATTGCATAGTGCTTCTCAGACGTAATTGCATTTGAAGGTAAAGAATGCTCTGGCTCAGTTCTGCTGTCCATTGGAGACAGTCTGAGAAAATCATAAGTTTATGTCAGTTTAAGAGTATTTTACATATGCAAACACGTTTGTATAGAAAAAGAAAAGTAAATATTACCAGTGTGTATCTGCATTCTGTAGTATAAGTCATCTATAACTATATATAGGCATACACACATACACATACAATAAAAAATGCATGCAGCTCAGTCTTGTAACTTGCTAATGACAGAGTTGCTGCAGCAGGGTAGGCTGTGAGCTGTTTCAAAGCATCATCATTTCCCTTCTGCTTTTTTGCACTGGATGAAATGCGTTTGACTGTAGCAGTGATAAGAAATGCGTATCGGAGGTGGGAACAGGTGTGTGACAGTGTGTTTGTTCAGTTCCTTTGCAGATCAACGCAGTATGGAACGCAGTATGCTTAAAGCATTAAATGCTAAATGTAAATAGAGGTGGCTCAGCCACCTGCCCTGCAGTGCAGCAGTACAGGTGTCTGTCATGCTTAGAGGGGACTGATAAGAGCAGAATGTGATACTGAGCAGTAGCGTTCTCCAGAGAAAAGGTGAACAAATGATTGGTTCAGGTCTGGAAATTTGATTTATATCTGTGATGTGACCCTTTTTTTTGACTTGGTGATGAAGTTCATGATTGCTGGTAAGTGAAGTTTTACTGTGTTTGACGACTTAGTTAAATTCCTTTTTGTACCTTACTGCCAAAATGATCTGTGTTGTCATAATGAAAATTTGAAGGGTCTTCCTGTTGTTGCTTTTCTCCAATTCACATTTTTAGACTTGACTAATTAAGTGCTGCATTATGTGACACAAACACATGATTTTTCCAGTTTCAAGGAACAGCAAAAGCAGAGGTGTTCTTCCTTTAAAAGGTGTGAAAACTCATGCCTTTTTCCAGTGAAGCTTTTACAAAACATTCAGCCATTTATTTGGACTTAAACCAGAGCGCAGATTACCTACAGGTAGTTGAAGTAGCGCCACACTAGAGGTAAGTGGAAATCAACCATCCTTATGACTTAAAGCAGAGCCGTTTTTCTGGCCAATTTTTCAACCACCATCTTTTTTTCCGGCTTACTGTCTGGAATCATGTTAGCACTCCTCTCTGCTCTCAGTGTTACTGAGGGACGTTTTTGCTGAACTCTCTGCAGCCCGCTCTGTGTTATGTTCCGGCAGAAATCCACGTGCAGCGTTTGCAGTGATCCCCCATAGAGGATTGCTGCTTCCAGCGTCCGGTCAGTGATCCGCGCGCAGTTTTCCAGTTTGAGTGTCCTGAGGCTTGGGCAGCTCTTGAGGAGAAGCAAAAGGCAATCATCTGTAACGTGGCCGCATCCTGAGAGGGTCAGAGATAGCAGGTTGGGACATCTGAAACGTAATTGTGAAGGTGAGATGAGGGGAGAATAAATCACATACAGAACTTGGAGAAGCCACTGTCTTGAAAAATAAATATTGAAGTTGAAAAAATATTTCCTCTTCCACCAGGGAGGGTAAGAAAGCATGATTAGGGAGGGACACAAATAGGCCTGAAAGCTCAGCTTTTCCTATCACGGCACTCTTATTTACCTTCCTTTGCTTTTTCTGTTGCTGTCAGCATCTGTAGCTCAGTTGGCAGAATGGAGAAGGGGAAGTGGATGTGTACATAAGCTGATGAAGACCCCGTAGAGATCATGGGTTCGGGTCAGAATTGATTTGTGGGCAAGTCAGTGAAGCTTTGTAGACATTCTGAGCGTAGGCAAGTAAGACACTTCCACTCTCATGATTTTATGGGGCTTTGCGTGTGCACTGCAACTGTTTGGTTTTACTCAGTGGGTGCCAGCATCTCCCTTAGTGGGGTTTGTTGATGTTTGGTACCCACACAATTCATTCAAATAATTGAAACTGGTAATAACTCTACTGTTAAATGTCACAGAAAATTGAAAAAAGCTTTAAAAAAAAATAAAATTGTGTATGCTGTTTGTGTAGACCTGAGAAAGTGCAGGGAAGTCCTATTTCAAGTCAGTATGTTTATGATGTACACTGCCTGTGCAGGTGGGTTCCTCGCTGCTACACCAACCAGGCATGTCTGCAAGGAGCCTTATGTACCAACCCCCCAGTCTTTCTGTACATTGTTTGCTTTCTTGCTTACAGCTTTCTCTGAGGAGCACCAGGACTTCTTTAGGCTCTGCTGTTGAGGGAGAAAGTGATTACAGTAATGTTAATGTTGATCTTGAGAGACATCAATGCAAGACTGCCAGCCTACCTGTGCCTGCAGCAACAGGGAACACTTCTGTCTGAAAATTTGTGCTCAAAGGCTGTACTGGGTTTAAGGTGTGGTGTACAGCAGTGGGGACAAACAAGGGGACTCTCTGTTCTTTACCACAGCTGGACAGCCATAACTGCAGCGTATTCTTTTTTGCCTTAAAAAAACAGTACATTCTTTTCCACCCAGATGCTGCTTTTACCCCCCAGATGCTGCTTGATTTCTCCTTTAGAGCAGAGGTAATAGTGAGATCATGCCAGCCACATTCTCTTCTTTTTGTGTATGCTTGTGAACAGCTAGAAAAATATGTGCAAAAGTTAAGGAAGGATCTGACAAACCCATCTTGCACAGTTTCATCAACAGAACTGAAGTACTCGTACTTCAGAGAGCAAAGTTAAATATTAATTTAATATTTCTTCTCTTGGTGCAGAGTGCTAAGAATTCTGTTGCGATGCTTTAGGAGGGTTGCTTCACAGACTTGGGGAGGCTAACATGGACGAGGTGCATCACTGTTAATATAACTGTCATTTTTAGGAGTGGAGATTTAACTTAAGGACATTAATGTGTTTAGAGGTGGCTGCTGAACTTGGATGGAATCCTTGCTACCCCACCTTTGCATTTTGTACAGCAAATAATCTTTACGTATTCTGTAGAGAGGAAGACACTTCAGTGTTAAACTGTCTGCAGAGCAGTGGTCTGCTGCCCTTCCTGAATTCTTACTTGTGATGGCAAAATGGAAGGAAGGGTTAAGCGTGGCATCTTGGTGGACATGCCAGTGCCCAGAACGAGGGAATGGTTATTGCCATGCCCCTCCTTCCTAGGGACAGATGTCTTTCCTAATGGTCTGTGGCTCATTGATCAGAAGTGTTTATCAGCTGTTGTCATAGTTACTTAGGAATTTTTCTACTGAAAATTTGCATTCTGTCACTGTCCCAGTTTGTTGGTGGTTTTAAAGTGTTACTTCCAAACAGAGCTTTCTGTTTGGCACGTGTTGGCACTAAGCTGGGGGCTGGCTGCAGCACAGAGGTGTGCTGTTCCAGCTCTGAGCTGGCCAGTGCCAGCCTTGCTGTTACTGAAATGCACTGGGATTGGTTCTGACTTACATTTGCTCCTCCTAATGCAGGTTAGCACTTTTTTTCTTAAGAGCTGCTTTGTGGCACTGAAGCTGTTAGAAGAAGCAATGTGGTCTGAGAGTTATTTTTCCATAGTGGCACTACTGCAGCTTATAAAACCCACAGACATACAGATATGGTTAAACTCCAGTAGTAAAGAAATACTGTTTAGTAATGCGCTTGTTTTTATACTTTCACAATGTGAAACCGTGCCTTTCCCTCAGGAGTTCCCCCTGGTCAATCCTCTACATTGACCAAATGGTTGAGTTAAGCAGCTGTTTACTAAACAGTATTGCACTTTCCTGTATTAATTAAGCATTCTTCCAATAAAAGGGAAAAAATATAGGCTTAAGGAAAGTCGATGAGAAAATGCACTATTCCCAGTATAAAATCAACAGTAAAACTGCACAATCCAAGCACTCACTCTCTGCCCCATTTCAGTCAGGTAGGTGGTATGGCGTTGAGTCAACCCTTCTAAATGTTGTAGTTTCAAAGCAGCTTTTACAGTAATGCAGAATAAATTCCACACCCAAAGCACATACCTGTTGCCAACTTCTAGTAAAAAATCAGTGACAGTGTTCTCATGCCTGCTACAGAAGTCTTTCTGGAAATTGTTTTTCATCCAGTCCTCAATGTTACACACCTTGACTCTCTCTGAATACCAGCAGATGGACAAGTATTTTAAAGCAGGTCCCAGGAGAAAGTTACGCTTCTGTAGTTCCACTGGAGAATTAAAGTTCAGTAAAGACCAAAGCACAGGATCTTGAAACACTTCTAGCAATTTATGACATGTTTTTGCTAAACTTTTCCTGCTGTTTTTGTCCAAAAAGGAAAAGAGATGCAGGAGGCATTCCCGATTCAGCTGGGTTATGTGCATAGCCCTTGCAGCGTGCTCAGAAGCTGACAGTCTGCTGGCATTGGAATGATGGCAGTGCTGGAAGGCGGTGGGAACACCAGAATGCTGTTGCTCATATATGGTTGTGGAATGGTGTTTATTTTTGGCCAACAACTGGTGCAGAAGTTAAGAATGGAGAAAGGATAAGGGCAATGCGTGTTGAAACTGTTGTTCCTTCAAGGGAATGGAATGGGCATGTAGAAAACAGCAGGGGTTGACTTTCACAGAATGCTTCCTTATAAGGGATCTTTTTATTTTATTTATTTTTAGGCAAGGCTGTTACTTAGCAAAGAGCTGGCGCTGTGTTAATGAATGGGAAGGGGCAGAGGGTGGTCCTGATGTGAGGGGTTGCTCTGCCAGCCTCTCGCGTTCCAAACTTAGCTTTTACAGCATATGGTAACTTTATTCCTTTTTCATTCATTACTCTAAGGCTGCACTTTTGCCTCCTGTTCAATGATTAGCACACCAGAATTCAAGAGGCTCATTCAAAAAATTCCAGTAACAGCTGGGGGAGGGGTTGGGGGGTTAGAATTAAAAGCAGTAATGACCAGCCCTGTGCCTTTCTGTGTTTGTGAAGGAAAAAAAGTGTGTGATGGATTATATCCATCTGTCCAGTGATATTATTAACTCCTTTATAAGTGTGCAGAGCAAAACAGCCCCTGAAGGATTTTTTTTTTCATGCATCTTTTTTGTACCTGGCAAAATTTATGTACGTATATTTTTTAATTGCATTTGTCTCAGTATGAGAGGGTTAAATGGAACCGAAGTTCAACTTCTATTTTTTGGTCCAAAATGTCAGTTTGTAACTAAACTCTGACAAACAAGAGAAAAATCTATTTGCAGTCTGCAGCAGTTTTGTTACTTCTGATCATGGCATGAGTAATGCATACTCCTTGGCCACAGGGGCTCAAACAAAACAACTAGTAGGCTCAGTGCAGTTCTTTCAAGTTAGTAATTTTCTTCTGTAAATGCTAAGTTGTGCTTATTGACTGCCTTTTTGGTTTCATATCCTTTGTCATTAAGCATTTTCCTTCAAGTTAGAAGGGTAGTCCTGCTTCCTTCCCATGCCCAGAAACTGGCTATGGCCAGTAGCATCAGGACTTTATCAAGCTATAGACAAGAGCAGATGATGTCACGTACCAGGTAAGCCAGTCACTGGAGAATTGCAGCTTACATGATGTGATGCTGGGAATTGGTCTGTGTTCTCAGACTAGCTTTTCAAACTCAGTCTCTTCCTACCTTGTTTTTAGAACTTACTTTCACTTTTGAAAAGGATAAAACAGTTGAGGCTACTCCAGAGTTGTAATAAACACAAGAATATTATTTTAAGGAAAAACACAAGCAAACTCTAGTTATGAAGTTACCATTGCTGGGGGTGGTCTTCTGAAGCACACAGAGGACACACTGTGGTCTGACCAATTATAACAGCTGTTGTATGACAAGACCTGGTACAGCTGGGTCCTCTTTGGGTTTAAAGGTTCTGGTTCTGATAGAGGTATTAAACAGTGAGAGCACTGAAATGTTCTTAACTGTTGTTCTCTGAAGTTAAAATACTTTGAGCAAGGGTGGCAAACTGATGAACACTAATGAGACACTGAAAGCCTGCAGAAGGACAAGAGAAGTTTCACTGCCTAAGGAAAAAGAGACACTTTAATGGCACGTTTTCCATAAACACTGTGTGAGTAAGATGTAATTCACATTCATCCTGGAAATGCTTCAATAACACACAAGATGAGCACAGTCAGTGATCCCCACTGAAAATTACACACAATTTTAATGGTAAACAATTACAACTATGGCACTACAGTACTTGAGGATATCCTAAAGCACATCGGAATCAGTTTTCAAGGTGCCGATTACCTCATCAGTAAGACACAGACACATCAGCAATGAAACACGGGGGAGGCTGTTGAACACCAACTGTTATGCTTTCCACTGCTTTAGCAAAATCCTTGTAAATGGGCTTCAGCTTCTGAAACACATCCATTGCTCCCCACAAGCTTTAAACTCTCATCTCACACAGCTGTTCACACCTGGAAAAATCCCTTCTGCCTACGCAACGAGAAAGAGCTCCATCAGTGCTGTAGCGTTTTGCATAATGCCACACTCACTGAAATGCTCAATATGCAACACACCGGAGCAGAAGTGTTCTGAGAGCTGGGCATTCTGCAGTTCTCTTTGACATGAATCACGTCTCCAGTTGTGTACATGGCTAAACAGTGACTAACAAAAAAGGGTAACCCTCGATCAGACAAATTTTGATGAAAAACATGGAAGTTTCTGCAGAGCAGTCACAAGCAAGACAAATTCTTGCCTGTTAGCGTGTACTACGATCAGCAGTTAAGTAGAAACATTTGGCTTGAATGAAATGAGATATCCCTCCCCTCCCACAAGCTAGTAGATAAATATAGGCTATACAAGTAAGGTTAAAAATGTAATACTAGGCCAGGTGCAGTATAGGTTACTGGTTCAGTGCTTACTTTTTTTTTTTTTTTTCTTCTGACACCACACTGAATAGAATACAGTGGATAAGCAAAGTTCTCCACCAGGAAGAGAAATACTTGTGTTGCCACAACAAACTGTTCATGCTGTCCATCCGGTTTTGCAGTGGGAGAAAGTTAAATTAGGAAAGGGTTTATATGTATTTGTTCCAGGAAAGCATATGGCTAAGTCCGTACACCACGTGCTGCAAGAAACAAGGCTGATGTGATTGCACTGCGTTCCCATGGCCACATCTGACACGGACCATGCTGGATACCGTCGCCCAAGACCTTAACGTTACAGAGAAAGTGTTACTGAAAGTAAATGCTTAAGTGAGAAATTGGTCTGACCCCAAAAATTAACAGAAAGAAGAAGCTGCTTAAAACAAGTACGTGAATGGCGATGAAGATTACAAATTAAGTTCTTACAATTACAGAAAGGCACATTTACATCACTAGTTTGCATACACCTGACTCCTGCCCGTTAAACTGTTTCTGGCCCACAGCTAGTTGTGCAGTTTAAGGTTTGTATTCCCTGCACTAAAACTCCAGAAAACAATGCAAGCCAAGCAGCAAGCAGACATGGATGGAACTGACTTAATGCCCCAGCTGGGAGCAGCAGGGCTGCCCTCTGGGGTTTAAATGCTGTGAAAAATATTTCACATCCCACACAACAGTGAAGTCTGTCAAATGTCTTCTGTGTGAAACTGAGAAAGGCGAGCTAACAAACTATCTGCAGTTTAAACAATTAAGAGTTCTATTTACTGCTCAACTTGAGGATATATAGAATCTATTGTGAATATCTGTATGTATATATAGACTCCCATAATGTAATATATATAGATACAGGAGTCTATATATATAGACTATCAATGGCAGTCTATATATACAATATATATATATATACACACACACTTCCATTAATGTACCAGATAATCACGATAGATTTTAAATAATGTTCAGTTCACATATTCATACACAATGAGCAAAATGGAACATTTTCCACAACTTTTATATTAAGTCAGTCAATCTCTCCTGGTTTAAGGAGAAAAAACCATAAGACTGACATTTTAAAAGGAACTCACCTGACCATAATTTCTGTTCGTATTTCTACCAGGTAACCCACAGCAAGGAAGCAGGAGCTTACCCATCTGCACTAGGTTGAGCTACATGTACAATTTGCAGGGAAATTTCTGCTGCATATTTGGTCTTTTTGGAAGCATTAAATGAAAAGAGTACTCACATGTTAAACTTCAGTTCTTGGGTGTTTTCAGGCTAGTATAGTCTACTGATAGCATGCTCTACGTGAAGTAAAAAGCTATTCTTACCACCAAGCTTTTCAGATTGCAGGAACGCCCGGTTAGTGGCTGGGCAGTAGGTAGATAGCTGGAAAGGGTGGGGCGCAAGGAAAGCACTGAAATGAAGCATTTGTCAGATTTTGGGTGTTTTCAGAATTCCTGGGTTTTGCAACATTTTCTCCTGACCACCTTTTTAAAATCTCACTAACAGCGATTATCTGACTTCCACTATGTGGAGGAGTAGAGCTGAAAACTCTGAACAGCTGTCTTTCTCCACTGCATTGTCAGGTCTTACAAATTGCATCAATCCCACCATCTGTGTAAACCTTGAGTCTGAAAATGGAAAGATCCCACACCAGGCTAGCAGATAAATACTGCAGCTTACCGGAATCTGCTCCAGTCAACAAGCAGTTCTGCATTACCCTTCAGGCTGTTTTCCCTTTAGTTCGTATTTGAAGTGATAAATTTCACATCAAGCATCTCAAACTCTATCCGCTTCCTTTTCAAGTGAACTGCAGGCACTGAAGCAGACAGAATATACTCAGGCCTAAGGGTGTTCTCACAACCCCACACTTAGGGGCTGTGCTCCCAGTTCCCAGATGGAAAGAGAGCTGGGGTCCCACTGCCAGGAATTCTCTGAGTTTTAAAGCAAAGAAGTGTTCATGATCAAACTTTAGGATTACAGTCTAGCAAAGAGGCAACTTTTAACAATTCAAGTCTGATTGGAAAAAAAAATAATAAAATTAACCAAGACAATTTAGATGCATATATTTTAAGGTAATTTTTAAAGACGTTTTGGGGGTGGGAAAAGCATATGTGAAGAATACTTGAATTATTCTGCAGTATAGATACAATTAAACCAACTGTTTATTTACAACAATTCATGAAATTCAGCAGCCTGAATACACACCAATATAGCAGCTATAGCAGCAATTACCTGGTCTATAATGATGCTGCATTCATCTCTTCTGCAGACAAAGAATGATTGGTCAGAGGTCACAGCTTACTTTCTTGCACGAGGTAAAACATTACGTGCAAGCAATTCCTTGATCTATATAACAGCTGTGAGAGCAACACAGTTATCTTGCTCTGTGTGATAAGCACATTTGTCTTGCTTGTGAGGAGAACAGAAAGCTTCTCTGATGTAAATGTGCCTTTAGAAAGTGAGAACTGGAAACATTAATATAAAAAAAGTCAAATAACTAGGTATTTCATGAAACTATATATATATAAAAATTGAGTTATCACAACTAAAGCAGCAAATCAAAATCTGCTGAGGTTTTCTGGTATAACTAAAAAAAAGTTAGTTTGTGTCCAAGTTCAGTAAGTCAAATGCTACCACTGACATGACAAAACTAAAACCCACAAGAGGAAATTGAAAAGTGCACAATGAAATTAATAGTCTTGGATCAAGTATTTACGGAAAAATGGAAATGTTTTGTCCCGTGGACTTGATAAGTGAGAATTAAAAGGAGGTATTAAAGTTTATCTGATCCAGATTTGGCTTGCCGTTCCACATAGAAGAGGATGTAGGCCTTGGCCTTTACCACAGTCTCCTCGTCGGTCAGAGTTACAGTACTGTCGTTGAAATGGAACCAACGACCTTCGTGAGCTGCGTACGCAGTGTAATGTCCAGATCCAACGCTGTCAGCACGGCAGGGAGAAGAGAGAAAGGACAATCAGAAAGAGACTGACCATTTGCTGCTAGGCAGTAATGGACTAAGAGACTTCCAGGAACTGACAGCTCTCTACAGCAGACGGTACGACTCTTCCCTTCTTCATTGTGGAGCTCTAAGTTCTCTGATTAAGGTTTCACGCTGAGTTAAATTTGGGTTTTTAAGTATCAACTTCCTAGCATGCCACTGTTTTTGTGCAAGCAAGGCTTCTTGCAACACAGAACTTCCACATGTGCCTATAGGGAAGTCAAGCATTAGCTATGAAGATTGTACTGTGCTTTGTTTTTACAGAACATTTGCCCACTGAGGTCTAAAGAAACACCTAAATTTAATCAAGAGCACTCGCAGCAAAACAAATACTAGGCTACTAAAAAAAGTCCTTCAAGAGCAGTTTAAACAGACCCAAGCTGTTTAAGAGCTGTTAAGAGTTTCAAGAGCCACGTCTTGAATCTAAGAGAGCTCTACCCTCTCAGTTTCCACCCCCTGCCACTCAAGACAAGGCCTGCTCTCACTTCTGTGTGCTGCTGCAACACATTAATGGTTCCAGCCACCTCATTCTGTCCTAGCCATGGCTGGCTCTCCCTTAATGCCTGTAGTTTTCCCTTGACCTCAAAGCACCAGTCAGATGCACTGTGGTGCTATGAAGGCTGCCTTTAGGAGTCTTGTCTTTTAGATTGTCCACCCTCTGTTTCAAGCAGAAAGAGTGGTTCTGCAGACAAAATTCTGTTTAGTATCTTTGAATTAAATTTGGATATCAACGAGGATTTGATTAATATGACAGTTTCCTTAGAAAGGACTTTAGAAGGGGTTTTTTTAAACCCCTTCACAGCCTGAAGTGATTTCTTATAACTACAGCTTCTTCCCTGGACAGGCAGCTGTTTTGTCACTACTGCAGTTATTCTCAACAGTTCCACCCAGGGTTGGGAAACAAAAAACAAAAAAACAAAAAAAAAAACACCCAAACTTAAACAACCCATACCCAGCAATTTCAATTCAAAATACAAATAGTACTCAGCTTTGTGACACGTCCATTAGCATTCACTTTGAGGTTTCACTCCTGTAGGAGAAATGACTGTGCCACTACTACATGTGTTTCAAACTCACACACTCTGGCATAAACACATACGTGCATTGCAAACTGAAGAGAAAAACATCTTTGCCTTATACTAAGAATGTTAAAATGAAGCACAAACAGCTGGAAGGACCCTTTATTCAGCGTTAGTTTTCATGCTTTTCATTCTTTCACTTAGTGATTACCCCTAGAGACTGCCAAGGGGAATTCATGGGAATAACTACATCATAAATGTATCCGTCTGATGTTATTTCAGCCCAGTTCCACAGAAGCTTGTAAATTACTGCATGTTTCCACCAGTGACATACACAGACATTCACCAGGAGAAGAAAAGCCTTAAATAAGCTGGCATGTAACTCAGTGAGGAGATCTCTGCCCTGAAGCAGGCTTACTCCATGTACTCACCCTGAGCCATGATGCACAACAACAGCTGCAAGGTCATAGAGACAGCTTTCTGGGCCACTGTTTTCAGGCTGCAGTTAAAAAGACAAAACTCTTCAGATCTCAGCGATACCTGCTGTAATTTGTAACAAAGACATATGTGATGTAAAGAATTTCTCTAGGAGGTTGCCATGGGAGTCTCCATACCTCTAACAGGTAACATTTCATGTCTAGGCCTCGTAAGGGAAACTCAACGTATGTATCAACTTTGTTTCTTAGATATGCTGTCCAGTGAAATCGTTTCAAGTGTAAGCATAGCACCTAAGGGATTAATAAAATAAAACAAGCATTAGAGGAACTGGCTGAATTTGCTTCTACCTATCTGGAAGGCTCAGGTGTTGGTCCAGGAACAGCTGAGCAGCCGTTTCTTTGACAAACTGCCATGCTCTTACTTTTCATGTTTATACAAACCTTTGGTAGTTTCTGAATCCAGAATTTTTTGGTGGACTTCTGTTTCTTTTTGCATTTATGACACATATACAGCTCTGTCTCATCAAGTTCTTCCAGGTCTGTAAAACTGCGAAGACAATCTGGAAACAAAAACAACACACACAAATCTAAATCAAGATTATAGCAAATAATCTTTGTAACATAAAATGCAGCAAACTCAGCAGCATAAAGGTGCTCCTGCATTGCAGTCTTGTTAATCTACAGGTTGTGCTCCAAAAATCTGCAGCTGGCACAAACCAGCAGGTTCTGACATGCAGTGTTCCTTGCTCCTTTCAACAAAGACAGCTATAAGCAGTTCCAGAGGGAAAAAAAAAGACTCCTTCAAACAAGATTCCTTCCCACTGCTCAGCACAATGGTTTATTTCATTGTAATTCCATTACGTTCCAGTAACAAATGTTCAACTTACAGAAATAATCTGGTTTTAAGTACAGGATGAGCAGAGGAAAAAAAAAAAAAAAAATGTTTTTTCACGTAGTGTTTTGCAATTTCCATCAGGTAGATTTATGAATGCATCAAAATTAACATCCTTTAAAACAAGATCAATCACAGCAACTCTGCCAAGCTTTACAGGACTGTGTTCACGCTGTTTAAAAAGCAGAGACTCACAAGAGTCAATCTCACTCTGCACGAGGGGCACGCTCACAAAACGTGCTGTAAGCACAGTGCCTCAGCAGTACAGCTGTTACAGACTGACGTACACAAATGTGGGCTGGAAAAACTGGACGAGATGGAAAGCACTGACCATGAAGAAAGCAGCGCCGGTATTTTCCTGGGTATTCAGCTGACCTGCACATCTCAAACCAAAGCACATCTCCGCCCCAGTTTATTAAAGCAGCACTTCAATACGTAGTGATGGGTGAGGCATACGTGGAAAATTGGTTTTGCGCCTTTTTCTACTGCAGCATCTGATAAAATCAGATGGCACATGCCATCAAGTCATAACCTGGCTCCTGAAACAGGTGAGTGTACACTCCAGTTCTCGTTAATGAGCTCGTTATCCAGGCACCCTTACCTCGTAGTGTGCACATTGGTCCATTTTCTTGATTTTTAGTACGTTTATTTCTGAACTGACTTGGAATATCTAGCGAAAGATCTGGGAAAACAAGCATAAAGAAAAAGCTTTAGGGTGGAATAAAACAATGCTTAATCATTCCACACTAAAGCTGTGGTCCAGGCATATGACATCTAAATGAATCAAATTTCAGATTTGCTTTCCTACCTTGTATCACCCACTCTCTTTATTTATTTATTTTTAAGACAAGAGGCATCTTACCTAGGAATGGGTCAAATTTTCTAGATTCTGTTCCACATATTAAGCAGTTGACTTCATTTTGAAGAATGCCTCCAAAAATGGCTGTGACAACAGTGGAGGCTCCATTTCTAGGCAAATCAGAACATAGAAGAAAAGTTAGAAATCTGGTCTGGTCTTCATTTGTAATACCTCATATAACTAGTTTATCACTCATTGCTGCTACACAGAGAAGTTTAGTCCACAAAGAGGGACTGTTCATTCACAGGGCTTTCACCCATCCCAGAAGTGCCTACTGCAGGTATTTAGCTGTGGCAGTCCTTCACCACGCACCAACAGAAAATACAAACTGAACTGCATATTCTTTACATAGTTGCTGGGTATTTTAGTGCTGAAGTACTGTCTGAGTCCCTTTTTATCACACAGAGGTGCAGAGTTGGCAGTGCAGAGTCTGGTTGGAGGCCTGTAACCAGTGGTGTCCCCCAGGGGTCTGTGCTGGGTCCAGTCTTGTTCAACATCTTCATCAACGACCTTGATGAGGGGATGGTGGCCACCCTCAGCAAGTTTGCTGATGATACGAAGTTGGGAGGATTGGCTGACACGCCTGAAGGCCGTGCTGCCATTCAGCAAGACCTGGACAGGCTGGAGAGCTGGGCAGAAAAAAATGGATGTTTAACAAAAGCAAGTGTAGAGTCTTGCATCTGGGGAGGAATAATTGCATGCACCAGTACAGGTTGGGGGATGAGCTGCTGGAGGGGAGCCCTGAGGAGAGGGACCTGGGTGTCCTGGTGGACAACAGGTTGGCCATGAGCCAGCAGTGTGCCCTTGTGGCCAAGAGGGCCAATGGCATCCTGGGGTGCATTAAAAAGAGCGTGGCCAGCAGGTCGAGGGAGGTGATCCTCCCCCTCTGCTCTGCCCTGGTGAGGCCTCATCTGGAGCACTGCGTCCAGTTCTGGGCTCCCCAGTACAAAACAGACAAGGATCTCTTGGAAAGAGTCCAGCGGAGGGCCACGAAGATGGTGAAGTGCCTGGAGCATCTCTGCTATGAAGAAAGGCTGAGTGAACTGGGTCTGTTATCTAAGGTATCTAAGGTGTGGGGGGCAGAATGGCGAGGCCAGACTGTTTTCAGTGGTGAGTGGAGACAGGACAAGGGGAAACGGCCGGAAACTGCAGCATAGGAAGTTCTGCACCAATGTGCGAAGGAACTTCTGCACAGTGAGGTGACGGAGCACTGGAACAGGCTGCCCAGGGAGGTGGTGGAGTCTCCTTCTCTGGAGATGTTCAAGACCTGCCTGGATGCCGACCTGTGCTATAGGGAACCTGCTTTGGCAGGGGGTTGGACTCGATGATCACTGGAGGTCCCTTCCAACCCCTGCAATTCTGTGATTCTCACAAGGTGCCCTGTGACTAAGGCTGTTTCCAAACAAAAATTCTTCCCTCACAGGTAGGTCAACCATTTTGTTTTGAAACTTCACCCTTCTTTGCTGCAAGTAATTTGGACTCCTTTAAATCAAGTTCTACATTTCTCCCATTTTGCTACCAAAGACAGCTTACACTGCATTAAGATATGCTAAGCAGTATCTACCAGCATCATCATCCTCTACACTTCCATTAGGCTAAGTCTCTTACTGAATCTTTTCTGCAGATTAGGTAATGACTTCGTAGCCCAATGAGAACAAACCATTTTATTATACAACTTTGCAATAACTTGCTAGTTTGTGCTTGTAGTTCTGACACTGCAAGCTTGCAAAAAACCATGTTTTGTATCAGTGCTCCACCTATAACTTAACAAGCAGAGCTGATATTAACTGTAAAGCAGAAGGAAATGGCTGCCCAAATAAAGGGACACTGAAAAAGAGAGTATTCACAGCATCCTCACACTGAAACCATTTAAGCACATATGACCTCAGTGTGCTTTGACAAAAGGCAATTCACTGCTACTGTATTCCACCTCTCCATGCTCACAGCAGAATTACTGTACGCATCTCAAAGTTAAGTTCTCTCCCAAGGTCAGATACATTTATGCACATTGAAAACAAAACTGGTTTATTTTCCAAGCATTCTTTAATTCTAAGAGCAATTTTAGACACTTGTTTTTTGGGGAAACAGTAGAGCTGTCTACTATGTACTACATACTACCCAGTGTAGTCATCACTACAGAAAGAGAAAATTCACTCAACTTCTGCTCAGAGAATCCAAGGACCAAACTGACCTGACCGTACTTCCTGAAGCAAATTAAAATGCTTTCTCCCTGTGATAGCTTTAATCTGAGAAAAAGCACACCCAGCAAAATTCAGGAAGAGCAGTATTTTAAGAGAGGTGCGTGGCCCTGCACAAAGCAAGAGGGTTGAAGCTAGATGATCACTGTGCTCCTTTTCAACCCAGGCCATTCTGTGATTCTGTGAATAAGCAGATGAGTGCCTGTTTCAGGATGCACAACAACACGAAAATCAACAGTGGCAGGAAAACAACAACAAAAAAACCCAGCAGCTTTAAGTGTGCGTCAGGTGAATAAACAAAATACAGAGACCATCTGCAGGGAAACTGCCTCAAGTCCAATAGAAGCTGCTCTGCTTTCTCCCTAATCTACAAGATCCACTGACAATTTAAGCATTCAGCTACTTGGCAGCCTTTTTGCCTGTGTATTTTTCAAGCCATCTATCACTCCGAAAGAAGATAATTCCATATGCATACAGAATAGGAAGTACAGAGATTTTTTTCTTCTGAAGTGTGTTCACAACTTACTCTGTATGCTCACAGCCAGGAAAAGAGTGCTCATCTGAGGGCCATACTTCCTTTTGAAAGGAAGAAGATCCTGTAGGACCACAGTCCACGTCCCTGCAGCTTTGTAACTGCGACGTTACACATTTGCTAAGGACAGCTCGAACAAGGAAACGTGCACTTAAACTTTCAGATCCGCCACCCAGACCTACACAAAGGCACTAAGGTATTGAAGAAATAATTAGAAAACATTTCTTACATGCAACATTTGCTGCTCGCAGTCAGGCTAGAATTTTCTTGCAAAATTACTGAACGTGAAACACCATTAAAGCCACCCTGGAGTTCCAGGTGTAGATGGTCCAAAAGGTAACGCATGAACTCGTGGGCATCCTGTTGCTGGTAGCCCCTTGAGCAAAAACAAAAACAACATCATCACCAAAGGTTTGGGCTGTATTACTTTGAGACAGAGCACATCACTCAGAACATACATTTGTTTAGCAACACTGAGCAGGATTTAAAGAGCCGTGCGTATTTTGAACTGAAGCCCTCAGAAAGATACACTGATGTGCAAACAAACCACAACTTCTGTTCCCTCACAGCCCCATCACTGTGCAGCTATCTCCATGAGGAACTTCTATGGTAAGTTTTATAATGGAAGAGCAGCTGCAGAACTGTTACAACTCAGATATCTGGATTCAGCCAGCACTCTGCTCATCTCAACTCTGGACCCAGTTACGGTCAGCATTCTGAAGTCTCAAAACCGGTGCTGTTCAAGGACATCACCAAACGTATGGGTGCTGTGCCATGTCAGAATGACCACATGCCCTTCATTTGGTACACAGCCATGTGATGCTTTGGCAGATCTAGTTGTTTGCTTGCCTGCTTGTTCCCCTCCCCACTGATAAAAGGAATTTATTCTCAGCATTTGGTTTCCCACATGCATCTCTCACTGACAATGCAAACTTTGAAATCGTTAAGAAAAAAGCATATTTAATACAGGTATCTCCTGCTTACTGAACAGCTGTTCATGATGATTTTTCATCTGAAGATTACATTTATGGGATCTACTTTGCTTCAGATACCTTCCCAACAGCAACTTCCTCCTCAAAGAACTCCTAACACAGTGCATCTGATCTCCAACTGGTATGACTAAATAACCTTTGGAATCATTCCACGCTGTTGGCTGTGATCCTGATGCACGGGTTTAACGCTGGCACACAAATAAGTTATTTATAGATGAAAGATTCTCTGTATTTGATAAAAAGCTCAAGTCTAAATACAGATCTTGAAAAGACTGTGAGGATATGGATGAACGCTCTTCAGCTGAAATGCAGAGTTTCTCTGACAGCTTGTGTAACATCCCTGATCAGACTGTAATATCCCTGATCTGACTGTAATATCAGAAGCCCACTGCTGACATCCCTTTTCCTACTGATAGCAAGATATGAAGAGAGACATTTACTAGGAGAACAGAGCACTCTATTTATACAGCAGTAAGACTACAAAACACACATCTTGCAACTCAGCATGAAGCTGCAGGCTATTTTGGCACGCAGCAGAATCAAAGCAGCACAACGTCAAGGAGCAGGACTTTGGCAGCAGAGTTTGAGCTTAGAGACACTCTGGCTGTACTTGTCATATACAAGTCTTAAAAACCATAAGCAATATTCTCTGCACAGATTACATGTGAGATGAGACAGAGAACCATCACGAGCCCAAGCAACCCTTTTTTTGTTCAACTTCCTGTAACAAAGTCAGTAAACTTCTGAAAGAAAAGCAGCACCTGCAGTCCTGGAAGCAGGCACACACCTTCAACAACTGACATATCTTTAAGCTTAAAAAAAGTTAAACCAAGTTTCCAAATATGTTTTCTCTCCCTGCCCCCATCACTTCATAAGCACAGCCAAAGCAGCCATTTTGCTGTTGGTAAGCAATCGGTTCCAGCCACCTTTCCTGAGCATCTGTCCAGCTCCTCCACTCTGTCTGGTGAGCAGCACACAACGCACACCAGGAACGCCATCACCTTTTCCAAGGTACGGTCAAGCACTGAACAAGCTTTCTCACTGGCCCACGTGGGAGCAGGGATTTACAGACCAGCTGACACTGCTCTCCAAGTGATTCCTCACCAGTTAATCATGCACATGTTCCCAGTTAAGCGGGAATAAGGGGAAAATAATTTTAAAACCCTAAAACAACATAAAAACACTTTTAAAAACTCTGATAGAATCCACAGTGCTGAAAATTTGCTTGAGGAACTCCAATTGTTTCTTGCTTAGCCTATAGGGAATTACAGTGAAGACTGTAGTTGGAAAAAATGATCAAAGACATCACGGACGGAGTTTTTGGTCACTGCATGAAACCACTGGTATTAAACTTCCTTGATTCTCTTAAGCCAACTGAAACAGACTCGGCAGTGTGAAGAACAGAATAAGACCACTTTCGTTATTTGGGTTACTCGTGTATGTTCACAGCATCTTTTCAGCACTGCTAGAGGCGTAACAGATAACAGCATCTTAACTACCTGAGAACATGGAGCAACTTACCTTCATCACAATATATCCTAACAGGTTTCAGTGCTCCTTTGAAAGAGGTTCAGGGGCCAGGACAGGGAGACCTTGGAGAGGAATGATACTTCAATTTACTGGAGTAACCATTGTCTTTCTTTTTTTGTCAGTATGGGCACAAAATGGCTGGTTTTATTACAGTCCTCATTTCACGTCCAACTAATGATGATAACTGTGCTTTCAGAGAATCAAGGAAGTTTTACCCAGTACATTTGCATGTAGACCTGCACATTTTTAATCTGACTTCATCAGTTTATTATTGGAGCAAGCTTGGAATATGACTCTGACCTAAAGGCACTTTTGCTTCGTTGCCACAAGGCACAAAGTATCTTTACAAGCACTTTACGAAGTGTTTCAGCATTTGAGATCTCTGCCATCTCCATCAGTGTCACATGCAGCACATGATCAAAGCGTGGGGAAAAAAGATCTACTGACAAACACAAAAGCAAACCTAAGTAAAGATTTTTTTCCAGGAGTATTTATGGGCACACAGGTAGTCTGCATTCTCCATCTCCCACATTCAGCAGCTTTGAGATCAGGGTACCAGCAATACAAGATAACAATAAAAAATAATAAGTTACAAAACTTACCTAAAATTTGGCATAATTTTCCAAACAACATAAAATAAGGACTCTGGACTAAATGCAGTTTGGCTTCCTTGCCATAGAGCACAAAGTGTCTTTCTGAATTCTTCCACCAATGAACTGGAAAGAAAGTAAAAGCTGGTGATGAATATGGGCTTGCACTGTAACTCCTGAAGGTTTACTAGCTCAATGGTACAAGTATCAGATGTTACCTTGGTTAAAACTGTAATGACTGAGTACATTCCAGTACTTCAAAGAGTTTGCCCAAAATCCTACCCATAACATCAGAGGTGGACAGGTTAGGAAAATTGTATTTCAGATACTGGAAATCTACGTACCCTTCACCATTGTGTTGTAAAGTCTACTAACATGGCCACTTCAACGCTTGCTGAAACAAGTTACAGGCTCTGAATGGCACAACCAAGTGGCAGTATTTAACTAGCACTTCCTCACCTTACCTCAGCACTTCCTGATGTATTTGACTGCCTCTCCCTGCAGGACAAGGCTGACACGTTGCCCACTGCAAGCAGCAGTTCCTTTTTCTTGTGCAGCCAACTATTTTTCTACGACACCGATCCTCTAGGGATCATTTTCTGTGACTCTCTAACACTGAAAGTGTATAGCAGCTCTACGAGTTCAGCATTTGCCATTTTCATTAAAGTTCAGTGACAACAAAGAAGACTCTGCTTACACATTGTTATCTCCCTGGCTCCTGGTATGGTAAGTTCTCCTGCCTGCTGTCTTCCCATTCCTCAGCTCCACAGCAGGCAATTCTTTGAAGTAACAGCAAAACTGCTGAATATTACTGGGGAAGAAAAAAAAAAAGGAAAAATGAATGAAATCCTTAAAGGACAGAGAGTAAAGGGAAGATATAATCCTGGAGTCTGTTATTTGAAATCCATGAACGGAACTTCACCTAGTGATGATAAATGATGGCAACAGGAACAGGTTGTTTTTTTAAATATTTTCTTCCACAATACTAGAAATACTGTAACAAATACTTATCTTCTGTAAATGAGTGACTGAATCCGTAAATACCACCATCATCCCAAATACCTGAAACAACTACATTTTGGCTCTGCTTTGACAAACAGGTACTGTGATAGTTATCAAAAGCATTCCCTAACGAAAACAAGCTGCAGCTGCTAAGGAAGTTAACAGTGTCATCTTCTACCTACTGATTCTATGCTCTGCTACAGAAGTCCCAGTAATGGACCTGTGCTTTGTCTCTGGCAAGCTCAGCCCTGACTGACAGCGAGGAAGTACCTGAGCGACTGCAGGATGGCATTCATGAAACACGTGTTCCCCAGGTTCCGAAGGCCTGTGGCACAGAGGGCAGTGGTGCTTCCCTGGAAGTGAGGATGCTTAGGTTAAAGATGCATACATCCCTGCTCACCCACTTTCTCCCAACAGAGCTGTTACTGTGATACCAACACAAATTTAAACAATCATTAATCTACTCGATTTGAAAACTGCAGTTTCAAAGCCAAAGCAACCCTGGCAGTACATTTTCAATGTCACTAAACCCAAAGACTCTGCAAAGCAGCAACTGACTGCTTTGCTTCTGCCATCCCTCCCCTCTTATTTCCATTCCTAATCAGAGCTTCTTCGCTTCCCACTCAATTATTTCTTGTAGCTGAAGACAGCCATTACTTCAGCTGCACTGGAACTCACGGCTGTGCTGCAGGCCCAAGGGCTCAGGAGGCAGCACTCTGCTCTACGCTCCCTCTGGTGAAAACAAGGCAGTCACATAGAGCCGAGTCACTCTCTCTTCTTTCCCCCTCCCTGAAATCTGTGAGAAATTATGTGGATTAGAAGATCCCTCAACTCTAACCACCACAAACAGGCATTCGGTTTGGAGCGTTCTTTGACTGGAAAATACTGTGCAGCTTTTCAGACAGAGCTGGACTGTGTTCTCCTGGGTACTGCTCAACAGACGTGAAGTCAAACCATCAGGAAGGTGGAACGTGAGAGGGAGCACAGTCTTCAGCATATTTCACAGCTGCTTTGGAAAGCAAATTTCATCAGTTGTTTCTTAGAAGTTTTAAAAGCTTTTTCTTAAAAACTACTCTCTCATCCCCCTTTAGACAAAGACCTGCCCCTCTGTCTTCTTTCTGCGCTCTAAAAGGAATAAATGCCCCGTCTGCTCAAAATAAAGTGAAATGAAAATAAAACCTTCCTTGTAGCTGTTTTAATCTCTTGAGTACTACCTGTTTTCCACCTCGATGATCTTAAGGAACAAAGAGAAGCTCAAAGTGGAGGCCAGCAGAAGTACAGCAGAGTATCAAATGTTATTTAATGAGAAGAGGCTCTTTCCTCAGTGTGGTCAGGAGATGAGGAAGACAAAATAAACCAGGGAGGAGTTGGTAGCTGGCTAAGTACTTTAAATCTAGCCCAACTATAAACCTCAAAAGGTTTAGCAAAACTGTGTATTAGCTCTGTTATACTTACATTTACTTTTAGTAACTTGCTGTTCAGAGATGAGTTTTCCAATAGTTTTCTTTTCCTGTGTCTGTCTGATGTAAAGGCTGAACTGTTGGGAAGCAAATAATACATGTTAGTATAAAACAAAATCTTGCAGGAAACGGACAACAGATAATCATCCCAATGTCATAACAGTTATCACATCTGCCATCAGTTGTCATTAAGACAGCAAAGAGCTTCCTGATCACCACATGTGCATTTCATAGTCTGAAAACAGAATGCATAGAGTACAGATGCACATCCTATTTTCAACACCCAGGTCCGAGTTAACTGTGTTAGGCTATGCATAGTGCAGTGTGTGCCCTGAGACATCCCTTGTTACGTGCCACCTCTGATCTGAAATAGCCTTCATCTTCTCCCATGACCAACGGAGTGCTTAATAGAGAATTTTCCATAAAATACTTCTGCTGGAAGAGTCATCCTGAACTCTGAGAAAGCCAGGACAAAGTGAAGTACCGAAGACCAGAAGCATCTGAAGTGCAGTCAGTGATGTATTGCGCTTCTCTGATGTATAAATACACCGGGGTGCAACACCTGGGTAAGACTCACACAATGCCACAAGAACATCAGGTTTCTCTTTTCCACAGCACCAGAAATCAGGGCCCCTGGATTCTTCCACTCAGGACTTCTCTCTAACAGAACTGTAGCACGTTCCAGCTTTTAGGCTTTGCTCTAATTCCGTTTTGTTTTTGAATTGAAAAGCCCTCCAAACATCCAAAAGCTGTCATCAGACACGATGGAATCCTCCACCACGACATCTGCCCAGGTGTGCTCTCACTGTGCCCACACAGCCCTACATCTCACCACATTAACGCTACTTATGAAGTCCCCAACACGCTGAGGAAGGACGCAGACACTCTCTGGATCACAGCGACTTCTCAGAGGAGTGCTGCTGGAACTCTGGGGCATTTCAATACATTGGGAAGCACTGTATGCACATGCGTTTCCACTTAGGATTAGGGAAGATTTGCAAGCAAACTAAGAAAAAAAATATTTGCTATCTAGCATAGGCCACAGCATCTGCATCACAGAGATTATAGTATTTACTTTTCTATGGCAGAGAGCCAGAAAAAGTCACAGGAAACGCATGTTTCTTCTGTACAGTTTAAGTTCATAAACTTTTCTTTGTCTTTCTGCTTGGAAACCAAACTATGCAAATAACACGAAAACTACTTCCACCAACATTTCAGTTTCAGTTTCTTTGCTTCAGAAACTTTTTTTTCCTGCTTTTGATAAAACTGTGATTCTGTTCTGGAAATCCTGTCCTATTTCTAAGGAACAGCAGGGATTATTGACATGGGAGAAAGAAAACTAATGAATTTCTAAATTCCTGCACATGCAGCCTCTAAAGGCACAGCATATAAGAAACAAGATGTACGTGATCAGCCAAACCTCTTCCATTCTGCTCCTCGGTGATGAAAAGGCATTTTTAGATACACACAGTATCACTCATATCGCAACCAAAACACATGTACTAAATATGCATAGAGAACAGAAATCCCATTTAAATTCTGTCAGCCTACCCAAACCATAGGTAGTAAACACACCACTTACTTTTCCAAGTTCTGCAGGTGCTCTCTGACCTTCTGCACCAGCCCCAGCTTGGTATCATTCACTACAAAGTCATCACAGCGATAACTGCAAGAAGATTTATCAGAAGAAGGAACATATTTATACATACAAGCTTTAAGTAAAAATACCAAATCAATGTTAATCCAATTTCAGTGAAGTACTCCAGAGCAGTCATGCTGGAAGCACTGCAGCAACTCAGTGAAAATTACAAGGAGAGGGGAACACAACAACAACAAACTGAGCCTGGTTCCCTCTGACCAGTGCCTTACAGCAAGAGATGGTCCAGGCAATATTTCATTACTTGTTATTTATTTCTAGCTACTTCTTTATCAGAAAGCAGAAGCATTACCTATCACTCAACTTATTACACTGTTCCAGTTAAGCAAAAACTCAAACTTTCCATGTCACTGAAAGCAGCAGTAGGCAACCCATGGAAGATTTATCGAAAGAGGAACTTATGTCAGTAAATAGAATATGAAGCTTCTAAATCAATGTGTAGCAGAAATCCATTTATTTGAAGACAGTAAAACTACCATTAAAGCCTCATGGGTTTGCCATCAAGAGCTGCTGAACCGATGCGCAGTGCTGGAGCTTCTGCCATGGAAAAAAGAGCAGGGAGGATGAATGAAGAGACATCGTGGTCCGTCCAGCTCACACCAGACGGCCGTGGCAACTCACACCCTGTGTGCAGCCACAAACACCACTCCTTCTCTCAGCGTTTTTGTGCGTGCAGAAGCACAAACACAAAGAGAGCTGTGAGACGCTTCCAAGGCAGGAGTGCAAAAATAACTGAGCTAAAACAACAAACAAGCAAAAGCTGATCCCCACTGCCTCCAGGTGAGCGCAAGGAGGAAAAGCCAAACAGTCTCTCAGCAGAAACAAGGTTGAAAAGAACCAAGCCACAGATATTTACAACAAACGCCTTTCTGTCGCTTACTGAGGATCCCAAATCATGCATAAAGAAATAAAACTTAAAAAAAAAAAAAAAACAAAAAAACTACCAAAACAAAAAGCCAACTGCTTCCCTCTGGTGGAGATGCTCCTAGTAATATGGGCTGTTGATGCTGCTTACTTGAGCTCACAGCCCAGCATTACAACACCTAGCTCTGCAACAACAGGGTGTCAGCAGCTTCAGACCTGCTGTCTGTACCATACACCACCATCACAAAAATTAAACACAAAAGCTTTAAGTAAAAATACCACAGCAGTGCTAAAGGTAGTAACAGTTCCTATGTAAACTATGGTTCAGTAAAGGATGACAGCAATCAGCAAGTTCTGTGATCTTCTACAAAGATTTCACATTTCCATGGAATGCCATGGACTCTCTTATCCATAGCTAGCTCTTCTAATCATTTTTTGAAGGCAAGAAAATGAATGTATACAGGGGCTGTACAAAAAGGCTGTACAAAAAAGGGAGGGAAGGGAAGACAAGACCCCTTAAAACTAAGGAACAAATGCTGAAGCAGCATGGAACAGCCCAGGAAGTGGAGACAGCATTTCAGAGCATCTCACAGGGCCAGCCAACAAGCAGCTCACCAACAAGACAACCCACACTGAGGCATGAGAAACAGGAAGGCAAGAAAAGACTTCACACCACATGCACCGGCTCACATGAGAGCAACGTGCATAAAATAAAGAGCAGAGAGACCCAGTGTGCTCCTCAGCCTTGCACAAAGGCTGCTCAGCTCTGGGGCCCTGGCAGCCCTGTGGCATCCAATGCAGCTCTCAGGGTCCGGCCTTTCTGTGAGGACAACCAGCTTACACTGGGCATCTGTAATAGCACAGCTCTCACTGCTCCCCTCCTTGTTTGGCACCGACTCCACTATGAAACACATTCCCATCATCAGCTGGAGCAGATCTAATGAAGCTATCTCGACTATCAGGCACAACTGGAATTTACAACATTCTTTGCTGTGCAAACCTGTGATGTAGTACAAAGGCAACAGTACTGCCAATGTTAATTCAAACACTGAACTCATCAAGGGATTGCAGAGTTGGGAAAGTAATGCCCTTCCCATGGCAAGGAGCCTGCAAAGCAGCACCCAGGATGTCTGGTTTCTTCAAGGGCTCTTTCATCCGCAAACAGAAACTTCATACAACTCTCAGAATTTCCAAACAGTGAACAGAGCAGCCGTAACTCTTAGATCTTAAGTAAGGAATCCACAGAAGAGCTATTGCTAGAGATGGATTTTTGAAAGCTCGACACAGTTTCGGAGGGAAAGAAGTTTGTGAATGCGTTCATTTCCCAGGCACACTTTAATTAGTCCTGTTCACTTCTGTCAACCATTTATGTTCATGCACAGGGACTGAAAGCAGAAAAGTTCACTGCAAGTCTAAGCTACCTTATTGCTGCAACTAGAAGAGCTGGTTTCACATCTGCACACCTGGACTTCCACTCTGAAATGCAATTACAGGGGACTGTTCTGGTTTTGGTGAGAATCAGATACAAAATTCAGTAAACCACATTAGCTCCAGCAGTCACAGTATTTCATCTCCTTGGACTGAAAGGGATGGCTGCAACAAACCCTGTACTGCGCTGTCGTGACTGCTAAAGAGAAGGATGGGATGCAATTAAATGCCTTCTCATTCTAACAGCCTCCACAGACATACTGCCACCACCCAGCTAAGGAACACAGCTACTGAGAATCCACAGGATGAAAGCAGAACAAGAGTTTTCCACACAGCTCAACAAAACTCCACAACTGAGAAGTAGAAGCGCTGCAGAAAAGCCTCTCTGTCATCTTTATAGAAGGAAAATTTAATTAAGTCTTAGGATTGCATTTTCCTGACTTCAAATTACTGAGGTTGCCCACACTGCTTTGCATAGAATATTGATTTTAAATGAAAGTTCCCTTGGAAGCAACATAATTGCATAAACATCCCAATATCTCACAGCTTCACATCTACACTGAAGAAGCTGGAAACAACATTTTAAAATTCCATCTCCAGCAGCTGGTTATGGCTGGAGCTCACCCAACCATTTCCTTCAGTGGCAAGCACTGGTTGACAGCAAGTCTTACAGAACTGCCCAAAACACAGGGGCAGGCGTTGGTCCAAACGCTTTGTGCTGCATCTTCTTACATCTAAGCTCATTTCCATGGGGGTGGGGGGAGGAATACACACACACACACACACATACGTGTTCATGTATGTATAAGCATACAGAGGTATACACACACACACATATACAAGAGTGCAATACCAAATCCAGGTATTTGTTTTCTGACAACCAAAAACCCCAAAATATTCTAACAAAAGCAAAGATATGCTGCTTCTGAAACTCGCTCAGCTTCACATTGGCACAGCAGACTTGTAATCTGTCAGGGAATTATATGCAAGAGGAAGTCCCCATGGCAAAGCTCTCTGCAATTAGTTCCAGTTCAGCCACTGATGACTCAGCCTTCTGCTTTGATTACAGCAGAAGACAAATCACATGCTGAACTGCTCCTTCTGCCCTCTATTACAAATATGCTGTGAAACACCAGTGAGCTTCCAAACAGAGTGCCCACCCCCTCCTCACAAACGCATTCTGTTTCAATAACACGTCACTGTCCTCAGTTTGAGCACCATTCTTTGCAGTGCAAAATACCTAGGTTTGAGATGAGGTCAGCAGGGAGCTGTGCTGTGTACACACACAAAGCCTCTGTGAGTTCTGGCAGAGCAGGCATACACTGTTTGTCAGTGGAGATACAATCAAGATCTCCAATATCCCACTAGAATTCCTGCATACGTTATTACTTTCGACGTGACTTAAAAAAAAAAAATCACAGCTCAGAATTCAGTTGTTAACAGCGTTAATTGGGAAACTGGGATTAGCTTCCCACAGCTGTTCCAATGCTGGTAATACATGTGCATGTTACTACTTGGAAAAATCCATGTTTTCACACAGGAATGGGCAAAACTGGTGGTCAATGATGTAAAATGCAGGAAAAAGCAAAGTCTCCATACATCATAAAGCCACCCCCATTTTACTTCCCTCTGAGTTTAACAACTCTACAGCTCCTGCCACTGCTACACACACTGCCCAAGTCATTTCTGAATTGCTCCAAGCAGAATTTCCTCAGGCAGAACACTTTAACTGTGGTTTTACTTGCAAGCAATAAAAACATTTGTTACAGAATTGTTCTTCATAAAATGGATACGCAAACTTCAGCTGATAGATTTTTTCCCCCATAAAGTACACAAAGATTTTCTGAACAAAACAGTACCCACCCGTGGAGCTCTGCATGTAAGTAACTGATCTCCCTAAGATCTGCACTATTTATGTCCTGCACATAGCAGCCCAGGCCATGCTTCTGTCAACAGAACCACTTCCATGATTCTGCTATTTAATCTTGTCAGAGAACTTGATGCTGCCTCCAAGCAGGATCCATCCCTCTCCCAAACTCACACACAGCTCGTACCAACTCACCATCTGACAGAGGCCCTTTTTTCCCCCAAAGTGAAGGAAAAAAAGCATATTGGAAACAAACAAACGTGCATTTACACATCTCACATTCACATCTCTTAGGCAGAATGTATGGCATGTTACTGAACTTACTGGTATTACAAATAAAGGATCCACGAACGGCTCATCCATTACTCCTTTCGAGTAAAGTTACTGAACAGCAGCAATAAAAAGGTAGGTTCTAAACAAACCCAAACCACACATGTATGTGTATGTAACACACACATAACCCACATAGTTATATTTACATCCAAAAGTTTGAACTAAGCCACTGAAGCACAGGAGTGCAGCCACAACCAATGCTACACAAGACATGCAAAAGCAGACGGTTATCTCATAACTGCTTTAAAGCAGTCAGGTCTGGAAATCAAGAGATGAAGTACATAATGATGTATATAACATTCCACAAGAGTTTAAAGCTTACAGCTTCCAGTATGTAAAAGGTTGTCAGATTACTGCGTTGAAACTCTTACCAGTATGTACTGTAGCTACTGCAATCCATACACACAGTATGCTGAACTTTTTCTTGTTTTTCTGTTTTCTTATGATTGGTCATAGGAATCTGTGCATCTTCATAATGCTTTTTGGCATGGCCATTCACATATCTAAAATACAGGGAGAAAAAAAAAGCGAGGCTTTGTAAACAATTATTTCACCAACATTTGGTGAACAAAGCAGAACAAAAATAACAAAATCCACCAGAACACATCACAACCTAACACACACGCAGTATCATAAAGCATTAAAACAGGCAATTCACCTACACAAAAACATCAGTCAACTTGATCTTTTTTTAACCTGTTTACTCTCCCACTTTGTCCAAATCAGTTTTTCCACCGTCTTCATAGCAGCCACACACAGGCATCTCTGTACCTCTGCACCCAGGGCCAGCACATGGGCCCTCACCAGGCCCAAGCACCTCCACAACCAAGGACAGCACTGTTCCTGTTTTCCACACTCATAATGTGCTTAGCTCTACATATTATTTTCCCATCTATTTTTCTTGGAGGTCTCCTTTGTTTTCCCACCCAGCACTCATTTTTTGTGTGATTACTTTAGCAGCATGGGTCGCACAGGTGAGAAAGAATCTGAAGTCCCAACAGCTCTTTTGTTGGCACAGCGAGCATTCTCAAATCCAACTTGTGAAATATCTCCCCAGAAAGTCAAGCATCTTCAATTAATAAAAGTCATCACAAATGCAAGAGTCCCAAACATCAGCTGACAAGTAATTAACTCTCAGAAGTGCATAGCCAGACCAGAGGTGACTTCCACACCCCACACACTTCTTGCTTAATGCCAACTGCCAGGAGTTCTGCCCATCCCCACATGAAGGTTTTTCTGCTCTGGATTTGTACTCTCATGCAGGTACAAACAGTTCTGCTAATGCACTGTGCTAGTGGAGCCATGTGGCCAGGGACACTGCTGTGCTGGCAGAAACCAGAGCAGACAGCCGTGCTTGCAGGAGGTGGCTTTTTGGCTGACAGTGCAAATGACAGGTCTATGAAGCCACACTTCCACCAGAAATGTTCTGGTGTTGTAATTGGTTGGTAACATTCCCAGTGGGACCTGGAGGATGTATTTCAACCTCACCAAGTTTATTGACAGCGTCCCAGAACAAAAGCTCACACATCAGACACTAAATGGTAACACTGCCTACAGACTCAATATTTTATTCATCAGGAACACTTTTAGAGAAGCAGTTTTTCAACAGTTACCCTGACATACAAACAATAGCACTGACTGTCTCGTTCCCACAGAAATTCTTTCTGTGCTCCAGCGGATGCAAAATCAGTAGGTATGCCCTGAAGGAACCTGCAGAAGCCCGTACATGCCAGGATAACTGCTCTGTTCCAGAATTATACTGCTACATTTATGGTACTTTCTGCCTAAGCTGTGCCCAACTTGGATTTGAGGGTTTCCATCTTGAATGGAACCTGACGACTGCCCACAGCATTAGCTGCTCGTCAGACACCTTCGTGGAATAATGGCTTGAGATGGCAGGACCTCCAAGAGCACAAGTCCCAGTGCCCAGCTGCAGGCAGGTTGCTAACCACGCACCCAGGGACTGAGCTGACCGATCACATCCAGCACTCAGGTCCCTTCTGGGCAGTAATTGCGCTGGGTACATTCTCCAGACTCTTAGAAGGTAGCAAAGAAGCATGTTTGGTGTAAGTATACAGCATCCAACAAAGCCATGCAAGGCTTCCTTCAGGGAACAAAGGCATTTGGGAACCTCTTGAATGAACTGCCTCGGCCAAGCAAGCAAGCAGAGGTCTGGCTGAATAACTTCCACACCGACACTTGATACCCACCTTCCACAATGGACACTGGAGCACGTCAGACAGACCCAGGGGCTTTTATTTGACCGGCACACTACAAAAGACAGAAAAAGAAAAGTGTCAAGGTTCTGCTATTACACTTACATAATCCACCTGGAGAGCAGTTACACAGAGCAGCAATCTGCTCATCAGCCCACACTGCAACAGCAGCACTGCTGTTAAGGCCCTCAGCCTTCTCTTTGGCCTGTTACAGCCCAATGAAGTTTTACATTTGTTGTTTGCATTCCATCTGTGTGAGGTCTACTTCATTTCTGTGTTGCATATCAAAATATCAGAAGCCCAAGTTGTAAAAACACTGGGAATACTTAAAGCATTTACTTTCATTTGCAATAATGCAGCTCACTCAGCACAGAAAAAGCATAAAAGCAGAGTTCTTCACTTCTGTTTCACAAAGCCTGTTACACAAGAAGCCGTTTCCACACATGAGAAAGCCTGGCCATGTGCTCAGCAGCACACAGATGAAGTACTGTGTCACACATGAAGATACGTGCCGTTCCTGCAATAATTATGCCCGTGCTGCGTGCTGCTAAAGGCCTCATCCAGAAGGATTTTGGCCTCTCAGTCATGCACACATTGCTGAATGCTTCAAAAGCAGCACAGGGCTGTGCTCTGCAAATAAGACATGAGAAAACCACCTTCCTGATAACCTGAGTTTTTAGCTATGTCTTCTAAGTCTAGAAAAGTGAAATTAACTTTGAAATGTTTAAGCAAAAGGTCTGGGTAAGAAGTAGGAGATACTAAAAACTGATGGAACACCATCCCAGGGTGGAGACACACAAACTGCACACCCCAACTCAACCCAACCCAGCAGAGATGTCTCTAGTGTTCATGTTAACAGCAAAACAACCACACAAAGTCATCTGTGCAGGCAGAACGCAAGAAACAGCAAGGGAGATCAGCAGCCCACCAGACAGGTACAAACATCTGTGTAGGCCATTAACACAGTATTTACAGACATATCACTGCACTTTTAAATATTCAGGTAATGTGATGGAGAAGGAAAAATAAGAGGTGCACTTGTGTAAGGACAAAAAGCAGCAATAGCTTCAATTTTCCCAAAAATACAAGAGCATAAAATACCACCTAATTTTTCTACACGTGATAAGTAACTGCCAGTCAAAGGCAATGGAGGGAGAGAAGAACAGGGTCAGTTCTGAATCAGAAGAGCAGTTAGTCACTACGTTAGTTATTTAAATGAGCTGGTATACTTTTCCATCATTAGATTTTGCCTTTTTTAGTTAAAATCAGATATAAAAAAAACAAAACAAAACAAGCTAACACTGCTTCCTGGAGAATTACTTTCTAGTCTGTACTTCTTATGACAAATAGTTGTATTTTAATTCGTGGGCCCAATCCATTGAATAAAGATTGTATTATGAGGAAAAAAGCACAATCATTTCTGCATGCTGTGAAACAGCTGTGCTTCCCCATCAGTGCCCCTTGGGCAGTGCTTTCAGCCCTTCAGTGAAGGCTGGAAGTTCCTTCAATTGCTGCAATTACTGTACTTGGGAAATCCATTTGCTCACACTGCCTCTGCTGTTGCTGGATTTTCAGCAGTGAAATCTCCCATTTCTCAAGCTGATGGCTCCCACACTGTGATGGCAGCCTTGCTGTGGATGGCACAGCGCCAGGCAGAGCAGTTCTGCCCTATTCTTCAGGTGTAGGAGGAAGTTTGTCAAAATAGAAAAAGCTGATTAGGAAAATCCAAATTTTACTCTGACAAACAAGAGCAAACAAAGGGGAAATCGTGGCCATTGTAAGAACAAAACATGCAAAATGGACCACTGGTCTGACTTGATACTACTTCATTTCCCCGAATTACAGAAACTGAAAGGTAAAACATTAACCAGAAGGAAACAAAGACAAAAGCATTTGCATACTTAAACAGAGATATGGTATCAAATAGTTGCTTAAGTGCTGCATGAAAAAACAACCGATTACAAATCCACTTCCATCACTCTACATTTGCCTTGCCAGAAGCATGAAGCAGTCCTCCCAGGATGAAAATTCTGGCAGAGATCTCCCACCTGTTCACTAGCATCCCTGCTGTCCCTATGTCATCACCTGTAATTGGGATGGGTTCTCAATCTGGAAGCCCAGGAATCAGGATGCAAACTATTCTTCATTTCCTCTACATACCAGACTACTGCAGTGTCACATTCAGGTGCTGTAAGCACTGTGTGCCTAGGGAGTGCTGAGCTACACTGAGAGGGCTCCTCTTGCAGCACTCACACAGAGTGCATGCTCCACACCAGGCCTGCAAACAAACCCACAAACTGCACGCTGCCAAATAATATTGTTTTCTACTCTTTACATCAGAAAGCAGGGGAAAAAATGGCTCACTTGTTTGCTTCAGCTTTCAGGAGGAACTTTACTCCAATTGCATCACATTAGAAGTGCGTAGTTTATCTTCTGCGCAAACATCTCCTCCCACAAAGAGCTCAAATAACATGGAAGTGACTCCCACGAAGATGAAACACAGCAGTATTGCATTTCTGACCTACAGCTGCTCTGTTCCATGGGGATTTTTGTTCCAAGTTGTGTAACTCCTTTTTGAAGGTTTCTGAGACCGCATTCTGCATTTCTGATGCTGGCTCAGACACCTGCCCTCCCAGCCTGACTTTCTAGGTACTCCTCAGACTCTGAAGCAGTTACTGTCCATTACTTGCTGTTAAGAAAGTAAGTTAGGCAGAAATTAGCCTTAATCATTAGCTAGGGCTCCAAAAAGACAGGTACAACAGAACACACAGCAAGAGGACAGGAGCTGCTCTGAGCTGCTTATAACCTAAATTAGGTTTTATCTGTAAAGAAAGCAGGGGCTGTTCCTTTCAAACATAGTGCTAACATGAAGGCACGTGGCTTCAGTGTGCAAACTCCTTCTCCATTCAGAGCACACTGCACCGCCCTGGAACATCACCCTTCAAACAGACCTCTAGTGCTAATTAAAACAAGGAGGAGGCATGCACTTCACTAGCAGCCTCCAATTTGGAAGAGTTTTGTCCAACACACAACTTAACAACACAAAAACTCATCTGTGCTTGTTACCCTTTATTTAGTACCACACGAGCTGGGGCACACTAGTGGCTTTCTAAAATGGAACCACCGTGACCACGTGCAATGGTTCTCAGCTGCCCTGCTGAGCTGTGCTTTAAGAACAGCCCGAGCTGTAAGGCAAAGAAGGCTCTGACACGCCAAGAGAGAAAGGAGAACAAACCTGCAGTGCCACAGGATTGTTCAAAACAGGGCACTGTTTGCCACTGCACTTTAATACTGGGTCATTCAGAAGGGCAAAAACTCTTTTTCCTCATGTAACAAGAAATGCAAATATCATCTTTTACAGAATGATCCAAACAAAACATGAATGCCTCTCTGCCATACAGCCCACAGAGCCCTGTGCAAATGAAGAGCATCGATCCATCCCGAGAGAGGGCACAATCAATCACTACATACAGACACGTGTCTCACACAGCTGCTCCTCCCTGTCCCTTCAGCTTTCACTTCCCGTGAAGCACCCTGACAAACAACGTTCACCAAGTTGCATCAAGCAGAACGGCTGTGACACAGCCAATGCAGCTGGCACTCACACAGGCCCCCACCCATCTTACCCTCACATGACCCAAACGTTACTCCCAAGCCCTGGCCGCTTTTCTTCCTTGCAGAAAACAGACTCCAAGCACAGCCCTATGATGCAAGAAGGCTCCTGGCAAACCCTCTGCTCCTGCAGAACAGAGCTGCAGTTTTCTGATGTGGGAAAGCTGCAAGTACGCAGAAATGTACAAGCAACCTAGGAAGAGCTAACAGTGCTGTTTAATAGCATGCGGCACCATTTAGAAGCTGGCAAAAGGAGGAACAGGATGAGCAGGAGGCAGGCATGAAGCAGTTTCTGCAGGGCAATATCCCTGTGGCACAGCTGATCTGCCATAGCCAGAGCAAAACTGCCCCAATGCAACTGCTGAAGCACACCCGTACCCCAGCTTTAATACAGCCCTTATTATATCGCTATGGAAAAGGTCACTTTTAAAACATCAGCACCATCAAAGCAGTATTCTGGTCCCCAAGAGCACAAATGGAAATAAGAGTAGAGTCATTAAGCTATTTCCAACACTGCATCCTTTACAAAAATGGCCTGGACTTTGCACTCCAAAGGAGTGGTACCGACACGAACATCTTCCTGCTATAACCAGGCGGTTAAATTACACTGGCATAATGGCCTGCACAGAGACAGCTTCAGCCTCAATGGCCTTCCTCCAGTTCTGCATTTGTTGACATAATAGCTCAGCTATACTGATAAAAGCCGGACTGGAAAAGGGCACTGTTCCCGCAGCCGCTATCTGCACCAGCAGCAATATTTACATAGCTGTGGTTGCCCTGGCATACTGGTATCACGCTATGCAAACTGTCCCAGAAACAAGCACTTGGTCACACACACACACACACGCCTGCTATACATACGCAGCGTGTTGCTGTGTGTCTGTGCAGACATACATGTGCATCAGCTCCCAAAGATTTATGTGACAGTGCTTTTCAGCATTCTGGAGAATTCAGACCTGCTCTTCCTTTCCCATACTTATAAACCGTTCTTCCTAACAACCCCTCCCTGCCCCAATTACCATTTTGCACCAAGGCATCATTATTCAGTCTTGCTCCAAAAAGATGCTGACCGATACTGCAAGAAGAGCTGGGCGGTTCCTATGAACACACCTAGCAGCCCAGGCACGCGTGTCACCTCACCTGCAGACAAGGGTAAGATATCCTAAAACTCAGCCCTCCACACACAGCTTTCAGGGAGACTTGCCAAAGCAGCTCTGAATTAACTGCCTAGAATTTCCCCAATGCAATATATAATATAGAGTATCAGGTATCTGAGAGAGGGAACTGTGAGAACCGGTATTCTAAGAACAACTGCTCCAGTCATCAGCCCATGAGAAACACCAAGGAGACAGCGTGCCAGTTGATGCTCTCACTTGGGCTGGCACCGCAAAAAAGCTCTGCCCACCCCTTGCTCTGCAGCTCTGTGATGCCCTCTGGATGCAG